TTTGAAGAAAGGAGTGGATACAAGTTGTGACTATACAAGCGCTCAACGGAAAGAAGAAGTACAAGCAAAAGGGCAAAGCCCAAGGAAGAAAAATTGGTTAGAACAAGAAGAGCAAGCAAATTGCTCAAAGAAAAGAAAGGAAAAGAAGTAAGAAAATATTCTTAGAAAGAAAACGACAAAAGAAAAAGGTTCAAATGAGGAACCAGAAAGAAGAAGAAAAGCTTTACAGCCAGAAGAAACGAACAACACTTATTCCTTTCCTTTATCTGAATTTGATCTTAAGCTTTTGTTCCAAAATTCTTTTCCTCCCTTTCACCAGCCACGTTACAACCCTACTAAAGACCTCTTGATCTACTTGATTTATCATAAGAACTGTGAAGAGTGAGAATATAAGCAAGCCTATGGTAGTGTTAATTCAGTGGAATAAGAGAGAAACACCAACCCTCTAGACAGTTGAGTGCGAGTGAAATAAAATCCTAGTGAGGGAGTGTCTCAGGAAGTTTCCCCTGTTCTTGATCTTAAATAATTTCATTGAAAGTTTAACTAATGAATCGTTGATCTTGTTGTTTTGATGTATCATTATTTTTAAGTCTGAATGCTCTGTGGTCATGTCTCTAATTAAATCCTGCCTATTAGTTCCATGCAATTGAAAGTCTTGATTGATTTTTTCCACTAAGTTATTCTAGTTCATTGCTGAGGACAACAATATTCAAATCTGGGAATGGTTGATAAACCCTTGGTTTACCATGTTTCTAGGCTTAAATATACTTGAAATATATCATGAATTGCATGGAAATTAGGGTTTTATACCGTAAAATCACAATAAATGAATATCTTGCTAACATGTTGTCATAATTCTCATTTCAAGGGATTTTTTTACATCTATTATGGCTTTTTGGAGCCAAAGGAATGCAACAAGATGATTGGAAGCCTTAAAGAAGCAAGATTACAAGTGTTTGCAAGCTGAAGGAGAGCGTTTTGGCGGCCAAACAGAGCGCCAAAACGCTCCAGAAGCAACCAAAAACCCTTCGAAGAGGACGTTTTGGCGCCCAACAGCACGCCAAAACTCCCATAAGCAGACAACAACACACTGTGAGAATGTTTTAGCGCACAAATAGCACGCTAAAACGTCCAAGCACGACCAAATCTAAATCCAAAAGAGATCTCATATCTTTATCAAGATGTGCATCAGATTTTATAAAAATACAAAGTGGAAACAAATCACTCATAATTGATAGAGATTCATGGAAGATTGAAGCAGGCTTATAACAAGATTCAAAGTCAAAAATCTGTCACCAATATACAAGATCTTAAATACAAAAAGGAAACAATTGTAGAATCAACTACAAATCTGATACGGATTCGGTGAGAGATGCAATGAAGGATACAACTCTAATGGCTATAAATAAGGAGCTTGGGGTCAGACCAAAAAAGGAATTCAGAAGTCTAGAGCATTACACCAAGACAGAATGAGGAATCCTGTTGCGGAGCGCTGGAACACTGAGGAACCAAGTCAACATCACACCAATGGAGGCTTGGGGTTCTCTTCTATTTATTATTGTTTTTCAATTCAGTATGCTAGGCTAGTCTTTTATGTAGTTAGGGGTAGATGGAACCCAATTTAATCGTTTATGTTTATGAATTAAATTGTCTCTGAATTCTTTTCTTTTTATAATTGAATAAATTTATTTGTCTTTAATGCTTTCCATGAGTTTGCTCCTTATAGAATGATTTTGGGGAATTGTATGACAATAGCGATATTGGTGCATGAACCCTGATTGGATAAATTTATCATAATCCTTGTGATCTAGGGATAGACATAGGGTAATTGTGCAATCTTAATTGTGCAATCTTAGAATTCTTGATCTTAATGCATGTTTTCTTGGGGAATAATAGGGGAACTAGAGTTCTTTCAAGATCACATAGATTTAGGGTAACAAGGAATTGAGCCCTAATTAACTTACATAGAATTGATTGGAATTATATTAAGAAAATGTTCTTGACTCTTTAATTCATAACATAACGAGGATATTGGGGGAAGTCGAAACCCTAACTACGCTTGTTTTTACATTCTTTAATCAATCATCATCTTTTCCAATTGTCTTTTTAATTCTGAAATTTCTTTAATTACACCTCATTACTTGTCTTTAATTTTTAAGTTCTTCAATTACAATTCTCTCCAATCCAACTTTTGATTGTCCAACTAAGACGTGATTAGCGAACTAGTGCTTGAAATTCTGATACTCGTGGGAACGATCTCGTACTCCGGTACACTTTATTACTTTACGACCGGTGCACTTGTCGAGTCGAACAGGGGTCCTCTAGACTAGTGAAATCCACTTACAAGGAACCAGTCAGGCAGGACGTTGGTGGAGTTTACAGCCCAATCAAAAAATACCTTGAGTTAGAACAAATGGAGATAGAGAATGTTGAACAGAAGAGAAGCACGAGTAAGATGGAAGGCTCAGGAAATAAGAACAGGGTGATTTCCGAGGTAAGAGACTTGAAGAGAGACTCCCACCAAGAGAGAGGTATGAAAAATATGTCGCACTCAATCTTCTGCGATCCCAAATTTGGAGAGAAGTGGCCCTAACCGAGATGGAAAAGGTAGAGAAACCTCGACCTTTAATGAATAAGGGAAACCTCCAAGGTTGCACCATGACTCTGCACAAGTTACACAAAGGATAAGTTGATCAGGCCCACGCAATGTGGTCACATATGCATTATCATAGCAAAACTCAATAGAGAGAACACACAAACAAGACTCACCGTAAACATCCTACGTTATTGCAATACATACAGGATTTTCCCTAGAAAGTGGTCTGATACCATAAAATGTAACACCCCGTGTATACCCAGTTTGTTAACATGTCATCGTATTAAGCCACGCTTAATTAAAAATGTGGAATATCTTTTCTTTTCAATTATGACGTCATGATACTTAGCCAAGTTGATTACTTAATCATTTTCATAAAAACATTGCCTGTATGTAAATTACAAAAGACAGCTAACTGAAATACCCCATAAATAAATAAGTGAGTATCTATGTCACGGAACTACAACACGCAGTCCGGACATAATCCTGATACAATTATACAACTCGAAAAAACTTAACATCGTCAATCAATGTGGCATGGACAATCCCCATGCTCACCAAATAAACAACATAGCCAAACAAGGTATCAACAACAACAGTGTAACACCCCGTATATATCTGGTAATGTTATCATATCATCGTATTAAGCTGCGCTTAATTAAAAATGCGGAATATCTTTTTCTTTTCAATTATGACGTCATTCATCATTACCAACTTGCTTACTTAATCATTTAATAAAACATTGCCTGTATGTAAATTGCAAAAGACAACTAACTGAAATACCTCATTAATTAAATAACAGATATAAGTCTCTAGTCACAGAACTACAACACGTAGACCGGACAACCCTGATAGTTTATACAACTCATGTAAACTTAAACATAACAGAAAATAAAGTGGCATGGACAACCCCCAAGGTTACCCAAATAAGGCAACAAAGCCCAACAGAAGTCTCAACAACAGCAACATACTAAAAGCAAGTTAGCATACTAAAAACATAACATCAGCAGATATATCCAGCATCCAAACATGTCAGCATATAAACAGAAATAATCATCAACTAAGCTCCGGCCTCCTGCCGCCAGAGGCATCAGCCCCCCAAGTTACCTGAACCTGAAATAAGCGTCCCCAAACGTGGGGTGAGATCTCTAAACAAGAAATCTCAGTAAGACAAGGAGTCCTCGCAGATCTTCCACCCCAAGCTCACTTACATGTGCAATATAAGTTCAAAAGCAGTTTATCAACATTATTTCCAAAATAGTGCAAAATGGCAGATAATCATGTCATGTGTGTCAATGCTATAATCTACTGGCCAGAGAAATGCAGGAATACGTCTATTACCCACACAGTACGCGCCCCTGCCGTACCTACCCTTAGGATCACATCCCATCGGGTGAATACCACATACATATCATAAGCATTTGCACTTAACAGCTCAAAAGCATTTCAAATATCAAAGCATGTAACATAACATGCATATAACCATACCCCCACGGGACATGGTGGAACCAGCAATGGCTAAACCGAGGACACGAAAGCTTATCTTGCAAGCTAACAATCCAAGCCAAGAGTCCAACCAATGCTCAAAGTCCAAACACAGCAGAATCACAATTTGATTTGGACCAACAATCATATCAATGAACATAGCTCAAAAGCATAAACATAAAGACAATGTTTCTCTTTTATGTTTCACGTCTCAAGGCTCCTCACAAAGCCACAAGCCCTCAATCCCTTTATTCTAACTTAACTTAGTGATTACAGAAGTTCACTTCATCAATCTAGGGTCCACAAACCCATAACTCAGTTCTGTATGAACAGTACAGTTACTGTCCTCGAAAACCCAGATGTGACATCGTCCCCTGTGTGCACCCAAGGGAGTTGTCTGCTAAGCGGATTACAGTCTTAACGAATTTTTTTTTAATAAATACAGCACTGTGTTTTCGAGTTACTAATTAACTATTAATTTGAAATCTGGAAGTTTACTGAAATCAGAGTGCAACTTTACAAAATACATGATTTGCTGAAATAATAATTTTCCTGCGAAACCTTGCTTCCTTATAAAAATGGTATAAATCCGAGTTCAACAGCTTAAAAAAAATATTCTTTGATACAAGGAAACTAGACATTTGGGGAAGGAAACTAGACATTTGGGGCTTTACGTGCATATAAAAATCATTCCATTTGGAGGTGTCTAGCTCCCAAAACAGAACTCGCAAGGTAAGATATAAATCTATGAAAATGTTCCAAAACTACCTGACCTGCAAATATCATAAAAATCTGTGCTTACATAGTTTTGTTGTAAAGTTTATATATATGAAACTAGACACCTGGGGCTACGCGTATTATAAGTAAATCGAAGATCTGTAGCCCCAGAAGTGGAACTCGCAAAGTGCTCGCATAATCAGTCTCATAAATCCGAATTTAAAAATAGACAAAAATTGTTTTCGCAAACGAGTTCAACATTACGTAATTTACAAACAGTACATAAATCCCAAATTACAGCAAAATAATATATGATCCAACATTTTTCCAATCTCCCTAATATTACACCAACGTCAAATATTTCATGCGCATTCAGCAAAATCAGCAAACAGACAGTAGAATTTCCAACAACAGCATGTAAACAGAATATCCCCAATACAAGTACATCATCATCAAATGCTCTTTTGTACTCCTGCAATTTATAAAAATGAGCCCCCGAAAGGGTGAGAAAAATTCCAGTAGTGCGGCAGTAAAGCAACAATATTAGACTAAGCACAAAATTCTAAAACTGTCGCATCAACATTTAACTTTCCGGACAGATACTAACATATAATCATATTGCGTATATAACACCAAAGTACTAATCATATTGTGTATATAACGCCAAAATACTAATCAAGATGCGTATAAAACGCCAATGATGTACGTTCATAGCACTACAGTGCACGTACTAACAAGCACAGTGGAGATCCCATAGTGACTCCTCAAGAGGGTACCAACTGCGACCTATGCGGACTGAAGCCAAGTGTCCCTCCCATACCCTAGTACCGGAGGGATGCCTATATGATGCGTGCTCAAACGTATGCTTACTTTTATTATATACTTTGGTTTCTAGAATGAGTGCACAATGTTGTATGCTATGACATGCTTGGCACACACACAAACAGAAACAGATGAATCATGAGGTGCATATGCATGACTAGATCATAATAGCGTGTATTTCTCGTAGTTTTAATACCAAGCTGCCGAATCACAAATAATTTCCAAAACAAAATTTCCATCATGTCAAGTCCAAAGGCACATGTGAGCAACATATCAAAATTTCATACGCTAGCTAATAGTCACAATAAGTCTCACCACCAAACACTTACCCGTTTGTCCAAGTAATTTATCAAACAGCACCAAAATTCAGCCCACACACTAAGGTTGATGCGCACCTAAACAAGCAAAACCAAAACAGGGTTTCAAGCTTTGATTCCTATGATTTACAATAAATTCGATGCCCCCCTAACCCATGTACATCATCGGTTTGCTCATGTTCTCATGAAGAGTTAATTTTCTGACTTCATACCAGCTCTAACTTGTTAAAAGAGAAGAAATTTCAAGGTTTCCCAAGTCACCAAATTCGGGTTCCACACAAAAAGGTCCCATGATATTTATTCATATACCCTCCACTTCCCTAGGCCTATGGTGCACTAAAGGGACCTAAATTATGCTGTCAAAATAATTGAATTCATATATAAGGTATGATGCAGCAACGTATTTCAACAAGGGAAATTATAGTCCAATCTAAAAGAATGATTCATTGTCGTGTAACCACAAGACCTCATTGGTTCCAACATGGCAGAATTACTAGAATAAAAGTAACCCAACGCTACCCCTTATATACACATGTAACTCCGGATTTTGTCCAGAAATTAGGAACAATAATTTATCTATTTACAAGGTTATTTCTACAAAGCTTAAATGTGAGGGAACAAGGTCTCAGGCAGCGATTCATGCATTCTTAATTCATACCAAGTTTAACCAAATTCTCCAATCCAAGGGCTGGTCTAACATCATTAGAGGGGTTATTGCTCAAGTTAAAAATTCAGTTTTTTTTTTTTTAGCCTACAAGCTTCATGTCCTAGGGCTGCTCAAAAATAACAGAATTACAAAAAAAAGGATTGACCAAAATAAACTATCTTCCTACAAGTATGTGGGGGACCGAATCATGGGAGTAAGGTGTAGGCGTGACAAGACAATATTTCCCCTAATTTATACATGTAAACCGAATCAACAAGGAGGAGAAAAATTGGGATTTTGACGTTACCTCTTTTCAAGAATACACAGCCAAAATTCACTCATGGAACAACAACATCCTTCATCCACTGCTCCCAGAAACGATTCCAACTACATGCAATAGGGGTAGAGACTAATTCAGCTATACCTTGCACATGCAAATAAAAGGGAACTCGATGAGAACCATTGAGGAAGGGATGAACAAGGAGCTAATGTATTATCTCACCTTATCCTACTAAGGCTTGAGCAGCACGCACAAAGGAAGAAAAGGAACTTAACTGGTCTGACAATCGGCATGCAGTGAAGCTTTTCATCCAACCGAATGGGTAGGCAGAAACGGGAGACAGCAAGTTTTGCCCAATCCTTTACTTGATAATTTAAGGCCGAACTATGAGGGAAGAGGACATGAGCGTTTAATTGAGGAGTGGTTCCCTAGATATTTCATGGTTTGTGGAGATGATGAGATAAAATTGTTTTCTTGGTGTTTAGCTTCTTGGGATTCACGGTTTAAGGCAAGAAGAGAGGAAATGGTATGAAATCTTTTTCTTGAAGTCACTGCTCTAATAAGCTCACGACCAAGAGAGGTGAGAGTGGTCAATTCTGTTTCTAATTGCAAAGATACATCCAGCTTAAACTTCACTCAAACAGCGCTTGGGAAAAAAGGAAGACAAGGATACTATGGTCTCACATCTGGACCAATGTTTAGCCAGGGATGAAACAAAACTCAACCTTGAGATTTCCCAATGGAGCGCACAAAAAAAAAGGGATAAGGAAGGTGTGATTTTCGGCCAATGAGTTTACATGCAAGCTGATTTCTCTTTCCTAATTGGTTGCATGCTTGAGAGGCTAGTTGAGTTTAGTTAAAATCACAAGCAATCAGCTTACTTTTCTTCCACCCTAAGCGCATGGAACAAAGGAATACAAAAGCAAGATGAGGTTTTGCCATGTGTTATTACTCACCAATGCATGACACCCTTGTAGATTTATTTAGGATAAGGTTAAGATAGATAAAATTTTGGGGCTGAACTAAGTCCCACAAAAGAGTTCATGGGCCGTTGACTTTGGGAAGATTGGGTCCAAAAATACAAACCCAATGGCTCTTCTAACTCCTGTACTAGTCCACTAACTATTAATTCCCATATCTTCTATGTGTGTCATAGGCTTTCTACATGTTACCATTAAATTATTCCTACATTTTTAACAAGAGTTTCAAATGCCTAAGATAAACACTCACCCACAATTATAATTCAAATAATTCCCTAATTTAAATTAATTCCACCCTAACGAAAATATTTATATATAATCCGAAGGCAAGCACTCTACCATATTCCTAATTGCAATTTTATATGGATTCCTAATTATACGGGATGTTACACTCTCCCCAACTTATTTTGAAGTTTGTCCCCAAACTTCGTCTTACCATCCCAAAATCTGCTTATTTCAATTGTCTAACACCATTTTCCTTCATACACTACGCTATGTTACATCTGGTAGACATCTATAAAGTCCTCGAACATTACTCCGGGTAGTACAAACAGACTTGCACCTCGCCTGGTCGTCAGATATACATATATATATATAACCAATTTTTTTGTACTCACATGGAAAGAGATAAAAATTTTCTAAACTCACTCGTAACAAAACGAATGTCTGGTTCCCTTTTTATCAACCTAAAATAAATTATGCTACCACAAAATGAAGTAAAATCGACGTATAAGGTTATTACCAAAGAACTCCAGTTATCAACATTTATAATGAGGCTCATAGCTCTAGCACATAATTAGTTGGCAAACTAAACAATTCCATTCACAAAACACTTCTTCACTATACAAACTTTAATAATTAATTCTAGAGTGAGAATAAGTGATCAAAAATTCCATTTGTCCGATTCAAAATCATAACGTATAGGGTAGGACATGACAATAGACAGATGGCTTCTCACCAATCCTTATACCACCACTCACCCTTGAGGTCTCCCCACACTACTACTCAACTGATCATAAATTTAAAAGTTTTCACATAAAAATGCAATTAACAAGTCAATGGCCTAAAATGAAGAAGTTCCTTAGAATGTAGGGTTCCATCTAACAATAAGTACCATTACCTCCTATTACCTGCGCAATTGTAAGGCTAATTAACCTGGACCTCCAATTACAGATGTTTCGTCTTGGCAATGTACATGTTACAATTAGAAGTGCCATTACTTCCTACTTAGTTCTTATCAATGATAACGATTCAGTTCACTCACTAAACACATCGCACATTCGTATTATATTCTGTGACACCCTCCCTTGTACGCGTCCAAGGGAGTTGTCTGCTAAGCGGATTAGAGTCGTAACAAATTTTTAATAAATATAGAAACGTTTTCAAGTTACTAATTCACTCATATGATTGAAATATGGCGGTTTACTGAAATCAGAGTGCAACTTTAACAAAATACATGACTTGCTGAAATAATAATTTTCCTGCGAAACCTTGCTGCCTTATAAAAATGGTATAAATTCGAGTTCAACAGCTTAAAAAATATTTTTTGATACAAGGAAACTAGACATTCGAGGCTTTACGTGCATATAAAAATTATTTCATTCGGAGGTGTCTAGCTCCCGAAACAGAACTCGCAAGGTAAGAGATAAATCAGTGAAAATGTTCCAAAACTATCTGACTTGCAAAAATCATAAAAATCCGTGCTTACATAGTTTCATTGTAAATTTATATAATCTGAACCTAGACACCTGAGGCTACGTGTGCATATAAATTATAAGTAAATCAGAGATCTGTAGCCCCAGAAGTGGAACTCGCAAAGTGCTTGCAAAAACAGTTTATAAATCAGCATTCAAAACGTTCATGAATTGTTTTCGTTAAATATAACCAGAATAGTGCAAGTTAAGTGCTGGCCGTAAAGTCTCTGAATACACCAATTTAAGACAGGTTCTGACATTTTTCCAATATCACAAAATATTAAATCAACATCATTGATCAGTCAACAGCTAGTAGAAACAGTGGACAACAACATAATTTCCAAAGCAGCAGCAAACAAGCAAAACATGTCCAGATCAAATACTTCATCAAAAATCCTTTTTCGTCTCCCTGCAATTTATAAAAATTGAGCCCCAAAAGGGGTGAGAAAGAATCCCAGTAGTGTGATAGTAAAACCAATATTGCCACAATATTAGACTAGGTACAAAATTCCAAAACAGTCGAATCAACATATAATTTTCCGGACAGATGCTAACATATAATCATAGTGCGTATATAACGCCAAGATGCGTATATAACGCCATAGTCATCAGAGTGCGTAAGTACTAATCATGACGCCATAGTCATCAGAGTGCGTATATAACGCCATGGTAATATACGCTCATAGCACTGCAGTGCACGTACTAACATACACAGTGGAGATTCCATATTGGCTCCCTCAAAGTTGAATTCCAACTATGACCTATGCGGACGGAAGCCAAGTGTCCCATACCCTGGTACCGGAGGGATGCCTATATGATGCTTGCTCATTCATATGCTTACTTATATTATAATTCGGTTTCCAAACTGGATGCACAATGTTGTATGCCATGATATGCTTCGCACACACAAAAAGAAACAGATGAATTATGATGTATTTATGCATGACTAGATCATCATCATAATAGCATATACTTCATGTACTTTTAATACCAAACTGCCGCATAACAATTACTTCTCATAATAGAAGTTCCATCATATCAAGTCCATAGGCAGAATACATATAACATTTAACAGAGTACGCATCCAAGGCACATGTGAGCAACAATTCACAATTCCATACACTAGCTAATAGTCACAATAGGTCTCACCACCAAACACTTACCTGCGTGTCCAAGTAATAACCAATCAGAACCAAAATTCAGCCCACACAATAAGGGTTACGTGCACCTAAGCAAGCAAAACCAAAACAGAATTTCAAACTTTGATTCCTATAATTTACAATTAATTTCAATTCCCCCTAACCCATGTATATAATCGGTTTTCATGATCACTAAGTTAGATTTATTTTCTGACTTAACGTTTAGTTTAACCAACCGTTAGCAAGAAGCACAATTCACACTTCCTAAATATACAGATTCGGATTTTAACCTTAGAAGGATGCTTGTGATATTTACTTACAGCCCAACGCTATTAAACCTAAGGGTGCGCTAAAGGATTTATTTATCTAACCAACTCTCCTAAGCCAAAGGTGCGCTAATGTAAGCAACCAAAGCATGCTGTCCAATAATTTAACTCATGCAAAACTTGATACACAATATAACCCAATCCAAAACAGCCCATCACATTGATACGAGAGCTATCTCCACGCTCATCATTCAGGTTCCTTTTTGAGTTTTCAATCCCATGTTCAAGAGGTCCAATAAGGCAGAGACAAGGGGATGATCATAAATTAAAACTAACCTCTTAATATGCTAGTGTGACTTATGTAGGATGTAATCGACTCTTAAGATGTTGTCTACTAAGATTTAACACGTGTAAATTTATTAATTCCTTTTCTTATACAGCGAACAGTCCAATTATTTAACTGAGTTATTTTACACATTCCCTCACATTAATTAACACTGCTTGCAAGTACCAACAATCAACAATTCTACGGCTGACAGCAGGGAAAAGAATAACAAAGCTAACTTCCTACCCTTCATGCAACCGAAGTAGTAGAGAAAAAAAACAAACGCAGAAGCTGGTTTTTTGGTTACCTTCTTTCCTAAATTCCTATGATCCTCAATCGACCCAAGAGCAGCCCTTCATCTTTTTCCCAAGGTCCAATAGTCGAATCCAGTTGCATGCAAGGAGAAATATGGACTCAATCACGGCAGGGTAAGGAGCATGCAATGGAAAAACAAAACAAACTTAATCAAGGTCCATCGATTAGAAGAAAACAAGAAAGGAGATAAACATCCTACCTCCTTACTTGTGATGTTCAGCCGAATAGGAGAGAAGACAATAGAATTAGTGAAGGTGCTTCCTCCTAGCTCCTACGCACCCAGCCCAGCCGTGAGAAGAAATGAAACTGGAAATTAGAGGTGACTCTGCCCCTAGTGAAGATCACTGTTTTTTTAAAGGAAGATGTCCTACGCATAAAGATCACTTTCTTTTTCTGTTCTGGTTCCATGAAACGTGAGGAGATCAGTTTGAGCTTTGGAGAGGTAGACTCCTTATTCAAAAAAGGCAGTAGGCCGTGACATAGCATGAAGGATCAAATTGCTTTCTTAGCTTAGGTGTCGCACATGCAAGAGGATGATAGGAGAGATTTTGTTTGACACATACTAAACATGCATTGGCTGGTTTGGTTTGGAGGATAAAACTTGAAATCAGAATTATTTTCTCTATATTATGCGCATGAAAGGAAGTGTAAAGGTAAATGAGATTTGGGCTACTTGATTTCTATTATGGCCCTTGGGCCGAGTCCATTAATACCCATTGTTTTCCTAAAATTAGTTTCCTAGGGCTCATTTATCTCACATCATATAGTAATAGTTATTATGTATTTTATATCCACAAGGTAGCAACTAAGATTTTCTTTACCTATTTTGTACCTAGAATTAATCCCATCCTCTTAACTAGAATTTTAATTTCTTAAAACACATACTCACACTTATAGTTAACATAATTTTCATGACTTGAATTAAGTCCACCCTATATGTAAACATGTATTTATATTTCGAGTTCAAGGCAACTTCCATGTTCCTAACTAAATTATACAACTTCCCAAATTCGCCGGATGTTACACTCTCCCTAACTTATTTTGAAGTTTGTCCTCAAACTTCGGCTTACCATCCCAAAAGCTGCTTATTTCAAGTGT